ATGAGACGCACGAAGGGACCTCGGAGACCTGACGGCAGCGCTTCATGCCGTTCCGCGCTGGTATCGATCGCGTCAGATCACATCATCTTTCGGTCGGCATCGCGTTTAAAATTACTGACACGTCAACGAACGTGCATCTGATCATCAACCACGGTATATAAAACTATTTTACCGATTGTTGCCGATGAGCTTCGGCGACGACGACATGGTAATGTTCTGCAGGCGATGATTGAGGTCGGTGCCACAGCTAACTGAGGTGTCACCTCGCATTTTCATTCGTGCGGTAAACGTTCGCGTTCAGCATTAGTCATTCGATGGCTAGCGAACTCGGAAAATCCGTCGTTGTCCTTGTGGTTGCCCTCGTCATCAAAAAGATTTGTCGTTCGTCGACCAACCGCTGGTGATTAACTAAACGCAAAACGGTGAGCAGAACGTAACAATGAGCAGTCGCGAATGCGCATGCGATACGCCAACACACTGTCTACACTAATACAGGGGAAAATACTGTTGCCAGTGCCAGAAACCAGCGCCTCAGATGCCATCGCGAAACATGAAATATTATTCACGGTTTTTGCGCACAAAACTCAGGGGAATAATGACAAAAAACACTGCAAAAGACGACAACAAAAGAAATAAAAGCAAGTAGAAACTCGCAGCAATACTTCGGTTCGAGTCGTAAGCCACTGATTTACGGCGTGAATGAATTCCCAGAAAGTAAGGAGCGAAACCAAACGACGTGACGCGATATTTTCATCCTCTTACTGAATCATTCCCCTTTTTTTTACACATCTGAGTTTAGAACAATGGTTTCGAAAGTTATAACTACACTCCATGTATGACGCGAGATTAATGATGACATAAACAGACGGTAATCTAATTTATCTTTGAACGAAATCATGTACTTTGTTCATGAAAGAAAGACAGTTGAAACGGCAAAAAACAACAACAGAGCATGATTTCTCTAAAACAAAGAAAAACGTTTTCTGTCGAGATCAAAAACGAACTGACTCCAACACCAACAAAACGAGCGATCAAGCACAAATTTTGCCCTTAAGAGGATATATCAAGCACAGACAGAAAGGTCGGTAGCGGTTTATTACGCAGCTACACGTTATGAACAAGCCATTCTTTTAATTTCTGCTAATATAACACATTTTGTAGTATTTTCACTTAAAATTATCATACGGGCTTATCCATTTCATGGACTGACCTATGACATGATTTACTGCTTAAATGATCCACCAAGAATCGAGCACCAAAGAACTGTTATTACGGGGAATAGATACTGGCCTAACTATTCTTGTTAATAAATAGAAGCATATTGCATAATGATTAAAAATCAGTTTCATACTTCCAACATGAACAAACAAGCCATTCGTTCGTCAATACGAAGAACACTTAAGTATAAAAGAGGTTTTAACGCAAACACTAAAAACGACTTTAATACAAGCAACGTTTGACAGTGCTTCTGGCAAAAAATCAAAACACTGCGCTAAACACGTCATCGAAAAGTGAGGCTTAAAAGATCCGTAGTCTGTTAAGCGTGAAAATTCTCCCCGTACATGCTTGAAGCGACCAGCGTCTATGACCATCATTAACTGCCCTCAAATTTCTAGTGCAATATCCGTCTAAGATGATATAGCAACGCTTGCATCAAGCGTGTCATTTCTCGTAGCGGTCAAAAACGAAAGTATGGAATCGCACAAGAAGAAGAACGTGGGCTTTATACTCATCAAACGTCAAGAATGAACACTGAAACGACCAAATGGACTTTGATAACAAGGATCGGCAGCTTTGAATGCTTTCACTGCATTGCAGAAAGACATGCTGTCCAAACACCTAAAGGGAGGATTGGGCACTAACGTTCGAATTAATCCTGAAAAAAGCGCAAATTCTTGCCGAAGTCTTCCAGCATGCCGTAAACATTCTGGACAAGGGATCAAGCAAAGTGGAACAGAAAATCTTGAGGATGCTAAATGGATAGTTTCAAGCAATGTAGGCAAAATAAAATTTCTCGTGAAAACGAGACTGTCAATATCTGAGTAATGTGTACAGCGTACACAGAAAAACATCTGTGAAATACTTTTATCAAATAGCGGAGATGCCGGTTATCATCTGGAGAAGTATACGTTATAAGTATCCATCTGGTGCTGTAATATGCCTGAATTACGACTTTGGGAAACTTACGAACTTATTAATATGGTCAAGCGCATAAATTCCAATTTTTGGTATAACACGAAGGTATAAGACAAATCGGCTCTCGAAACATCATCGATAAGGAAAACGATATTACTCCAACCAATAAAATGGTATGAGATGCATAAATGCATTACAAAAGTATGACGGAGCTATTACATGCTTAACGAAAGGAAAAGAAGGAAAGTTTGCAATCATTGGAATGTTGGTGTTCCTTACATTTTCATGAAGATGCAGTTCGTTTTAGGAAGTCAAGGTTCAGGTGCTGATAGCCAGTTTTCATGTCATCAACCAGGATTGCCCTCTGTTAACAGCATAGTAGGCAATAGCTATGTTCAAAGCATAGTGTGTAATCTCCTGTTTCCTTCTCACAGACTGTACTCAGTCAACCTCAGAAGGAAGAACGACGAGCGATCCGAACGGTGCTCGAACCCGCAACCTCTAGATTCTGAGCCAAACGCTACAAGAGTGAGCAAACCAACTATTGCATGTTTAAACAGTTGCTACCTTGAGCATAAGGGAGAAAGTAGGCTGTACGTCCGTTATTAAACCCGGATTTTGAAGAAGCATTCGATTATTAGCATACTTCATATTTCGATGAAACTATTTCTATGCACATGAATGACATAACGGGTGTTGCCCAAGAACAACAAAGGGCAAAGTGGCGAAAAATTATCCAATACAGCTTAGTTAATGAAAAGAAGCTCAATTAATGGCGCAGAATAGCTACTAGATAAATTAGCTACACCATAAGTTGAAAGTTCGAGGGGACAGAAAATGTCCATTGCATTTGCAGGACAAGCGTCATCAATTCCATTCGCTGGGCGCTCGCATGGCCAGAAACGATTCATATAGCCTTGCGTAAATCTGGTCCGTCAGATGCATCGCCTATGTTTTCGGTGGTATCGAAGTACCGATGCCAGAAAAAGCGCTCGGAAACGACAGTTAACGCTTCGTGAAGCCGCCATCGAGTCGACATTTCGACGAGATTCAAACGCAATTCTGTCAAGGCCGAAGGAAACGTCAGACAGGTTTGTTCAATCCGTTGGTCACTCATCGCCGCTGCTAATGGGACAACAGTAGAAAGCATAATTCACACTGTCACAAATGATTAAACATGTCATTTATTACTCACTTCGCTAGAGCCAACCAACTTCTACTTACTATTTGACAGGTTTACGTTAGCAGGTTGACAGGACAACGACGCGATAGCGAAGTTTTTCAGTGATATACTCTTTCTAACCTTTAACGCGTTCAGTTAACAATGCTTGTTTTCAAACTGAAAGTTCTTCTTTCTTGAAAAACTGCTGCTTAAAATTTTGTCTTTCGGCACTGTCGGTGTAAGTTCTAAAAACAACGCTTATAATGGATAACGGCTGTCGTCTACTGACCATGTTATCTGAACACAGAATGCAAACATGACCCAATTCATAGTCCAAAAAAATGATTATGTCACGAAGTCAAAAGACTAACATCACATCTCAATATCATTTACCACTGCAGCGAAGAAGTAACATGCAGCGGTGTTTGCATATTATCATAAGGACATCTTCACTAGCATGACTGCGGTGAAAAAGAATGTTAAATGTTCCTTCATTCAGCCAGTAGAATGCACAGCAAAACTATTTCGAAAACCTGTTATGCTGTCATCAAACTTTCGTTGCGGACATCAAGGAATAAACTTCGACGTTGTCTCATATTCATTATCATCCCTACGACGCTGCTTAAACTTCATTTTTCGGCGGAGGTTATGATAATCGCAGTGTCCCTGCTCAGTACAAAAGCAGCTCAACACATATCATTCGAAAGTTTGCAACCGCTCAGATATCAACTCCCTTTAAATTCATGTGATTGTGGTTATGACAGATTCGTTACTTCAAGGAGCTTATATTGCGGAACTGATTCCCGCTGTAAGGTCCTCAGGACAGCCTGACAACAAATGCGCGTGGAATGAATGCTGACCATTATTAATAATAATCTCTAAAGAAAGCGGTGGGAAATATTTTCTTAGTGCCGTCTACTGTCTGAACAAATGTTTAAAATTTGTAGGCTACATGAAAGGCAGACAATCCGGGGATAATGGATCATGGTGATGAGTGTCGGGAAAAAGAGAGAAAGTAACCATCCTTGAACTATGTAGATGACTGGGACCAGTGATATGCGGTGAAATAAACGCTCTCAATCTTACGCATTCCACGGTCATCGCTCTGAAAAAAGAATGACAACTTCATAAGTCACATTATAATCCCACGGTTCCTTTTAACTCCGAATCACAGAAATTTACAATTGGGATGAGCGAGTACTTAAGAAATTCGAAAATTCAAGCTAATGCTCGATCACGCATAAAGCTTGAATGTCACATGAATCAGCGCCGGTAGTTTAAAGTTGGTTGACCCTATTTTTTTTTTAAACAAGCAGTTTATTCACTCAGAAAAAAGGCATGGAGTTAACACAAGACGTTAGCTGTCCTTGGTTCGTTACATTGGAGGATTACATATACCCTCAAAAACTACGGCATCCGGAACCGC